CATCGTCAAAGGAAAACAGTATTTGAACTGCTTGACTTGTACCCTATACTGTAAACGACTTATTTTTCGCGGGCTCTATATTTCGCGATTGAGGTAAAAGTTAAAGATTTGGAATAATTCGGCGTTTTGTAAATTTCGCAATGCGGCGGGATTTCAATATAGATTCCAATGTGTTTACATTTTACCAGAATCAATCGCGGGACCTTTTTTTTTCTTTTTTTTTTTGGTTGTAGCCGATTTGGGAAAATTAGTATCTTGCGAAAAATGAGTCGTCTACTGTCTTCGAAATCTCCAATTCTGAGCCAAATTGGCTTTGCCGGAAATACGTTGAGGAGCTCACCACCATTCAAAGGTATGCCAAACTGCTTAGGATGTTGGCAAGGACACGATAACAGATTAGGTACATAATTTGTTGCTAACGGCTTTTTATGTCATTAACGCTGTCAAAATTACTTATCAATTATTGCTGCTTCCCAGATAAAAATAAATCGCATATTTATTTCTTCACGAAATGCAATATCCACTTGACAATTCCACCACTTGACGGAATTAGAACTGTCCATACCGATACATTTTTCCAAAGCAAATTCACAGGGCACATTTTCAAAGGCACATTCATAGTTACCTCTAAACGAACTTCAACGCTGCTGGCAGCTCAGCACGGTACTTTAGTTTGAGACAACAGTATGTGGCGTACATCAGCTCCATAGCAGAGAGGAAGCTGGCGCCTTCGAAGCACCTGGTGCCATCCAGTGGCAGTCGAAGATGCTTCTGCCTGAAAAAAGTCGATCTTTTTAGTTATAAAGGAACGCTGAACCGAACGTTTATGATTGCAATTGTGTTTGAGAGCATTAATTCCTAGGACTTTGGGATTTATAATATTTTCAAACATGGCACACCTTTTGAGTTTTTATCTAGGGAGTAGATTTTCAGTTTCTTCCGGTTAGCATGTATACTCATGAGTTTTATCGCTTTATTCTGGTGATATGTATAGTATCTTCCTTTAATTCACAAGGCAAAACCGCACACCGTTGCGGTGAATGAACTTGATACGCGATAAAAACAAGTCAAACCCAATCCTCTAAAAAAAAAGGGAACTTGACACACAAAACCCAATCACAATTCACGAGCATGCTCATGAATGTGCGAGGCTGCATGCACAATGCGCGAGTCTGGTCGCATATTCACGAGCAAGCTCGTGAATTGCGATGTTGGTTAGGTCATGATGGGCGAAAATATTTGTTTGAGGGCTCTGCAGTAATTTGTATTGGCAGAGCAAAGCTCTACCACTATGGCCAGGATTCGGGTCATCCAATGAAAGAACATTAACGCGCGTCGTGCGTACAGCAACTTCCGGTAGAGCTGCACGACGTCATGCGTGTAGCGTTACTCTACATAAAAAGGGTGTCCTTCCCAGGCCATAAGCGGGAGTTCACTCTGAGCATGCGCAGCGTTCAGAGAGCTCCAATGTGGCGTCCAGTGAATACCACCTATTACAATAGAGGTTTCGACTCGACCGGGGTAATTTTGAAGTGTATTCGTCTATCAGTAGCCCGAGTTATTTCAGAAATATCAGTCCCGAAAAAATGGCATCAATTTAGTCCACAAAACACCTGGAGTGACGGAGCATCCGCGGCGCGCACACGAGTATTAGCAAGACGATGATTGATTACTGGCACAGCGCGGATAAGTTTACTGGGTGACTCAAAATATCGCAAAATAATGCATTGCTATTCCTAAGATGCAAAAGCCTGCATTATTTCTCTGCATCAAGCAGGTGCCTCCTTTATTGGACCGCATATTCGGAAAGCTGCCAAGAACGCTCACACGGTCGAGCAGCTGAGGAATGCAGTGCTCCACTCTGCTTTCAGACGCATAAAAAAAAAGTTAAAAACACGCTCCGTTTATTGAACGCTGAATTGAGCTTATCTTACGCTTTCGACCTTAGGAATATACTTCGTTCCTTAAAACATCAGTGACCAATGTTCACGTCTTCTAATCCGATCTTCCCTCATTCTCCAATTGCCCCATCCCCCTCCCCGATCAAGCGCTGAACTTTCAACCATGTGAGGTTGAAGTTGGCGGCGAATCTAGTTTAATTCGACTTGCTTAAGTCTCGCATGTTGACAGCGGCTTGGCATAATAATGCAGGGAATATTGCCGAAACCGTGCTCTCCTAGTGCCCAACTACTAAGTAGGGTCAGGTAGCATGCCGCCCCGAATCAGGAACTATACAAGGCCTATAGCTTTATGCGGCTGGGAAGACGAGACGCTGCACTATGGGCATCCCGAACTTGGAATATACGACACCTTTAGAGATAGTAAACTAACACTGCGTTAGGAACAACTTAGCGTATACGTACCTTGGAAAATGAAGCCGTCTACGCACCGTAGAACGCCGCTGACGACGCGACAACAACGTCAAACTTGTCTTCGGAACGGGTAGCAGCACTCCACAGCCCCCGGGCCCACGCCGGCCGGCAGCGGCTTGCGCATGCGCGGGACAGAGATGTCTTCCTGCGCGCGGCGTAACTCGGCTCACGGGCGCTGTACTTCCGCGGTCCGATAGAGTCCCATAAAAATTGCTGGATATCCGGCACTTTTGGGCGCGTTCAATTCGCTTATACCAGTTGAACCGACTATAAACTGTAATCTTGTAAGGCTTTTTTTATTGGTACAGATAAGCTCATACTTATTGCTTAAATAGCACATTTCAATGCATATGGTACAGTTCCTGTTTTTGAAAGCAAACAGCACATTATATGCATTTCCAGAAAACGGGACATGTTCTATTCGGTTTTTCCACGTAGATTGATGGAATTTTCTAACAGTGTAGTAATTATCACGAGCTCAAATCGAGTGTCCACGCAATGCTCGGGTCTAATCTATGAACCGCATCGGGGTGTACTGCGATCCACACGTTACGTCATCAAATTTTGCAAAGGAGAGATTGAATGAAAACGATCGCATTTGTCCTTGACAATACACCCCCACAAAGGAGCTTCTTGACCAGTGGCGTTGCGTGCGAGTGTCCTTGAGTCTCACTAGTACCAGTAAGCTCGTGTAAAGTGAAAAAATTGCAATCGAATATCGTTGCACCGCTCCTTTAATAAAACGGTTTGTCTTGGGCAGCATCCAGTTGCACGTAGGGGCAGACGTCGTCCGGGACCCGCGCCAAAGGAGATATAGACCGCACCTCTCCACCCAGGATAGTCTTCTTCTGAATAGGGACATCCTCGAGTAGAAGTGCAAGCCAGATCAGAAATCATCGTCACAGTCCTCGTAAAGAAAGCGTTTGACTCGGTGCCGCACTCCTCGGTCATCACGGAAGCTCGTAGACGAGGACTAAGGCAAAGAGTAATGGCGTACATACGCTCGTTCCTCAGTGGACGTTACTGTGGAGTCAAAGTGGGCTCCACCCTGTGCCCAAGTATGACAAACGGTATAGGCGTCTCGCAAAGGGCCGTCCTGTTGCCGATGCTGTCTAACGTCGCGGTGTCGGCTCTATTACCAGCAAGGCCCAAAACTGACGGTATCGGCTTCAGCGTATATGCCGATAATATGACACTCTGGACTTCTAGCTGCTCCCCAGGCGCCCAAGAACAAACTCTACACGACGACCTAGGTACCGTGGCAGACTACCTAAAGCAGGTCGGGGGATAACCCCCTATCTGGGAAAGACGACCTTCGTCGTCATGCCGGATGCACAGAATAAAAATAAAAACGCCAATAATTTCTTCAAGATGCCTCGACGGCCAGCCAATAGACTGCCAGTCTTTCCTCCGCGTCCTGGAACTCCCCATCGACGAGGACGGCGGAGCGAGCAATTGGATGTGTGTGGAATATCTAGTTTAGTTCCTGAACGTATGGTTGAAAAAAACCCTAGACTGCGGGTAAACGACACAGCACTAGAGATAATCTAGAAACTTTTTAGTATTGTGTCGTTTACCCGCAGTCTCGCGGTTTTTTCAACCACGTGCAGTGTACACTAGCTCGTTTGCGGCCTTACATTTTGTTCCTAAACGTATGTTGCACTCACTATAGCATAAGGCCCAATCCCCACCCTGCCCGTTTCGGTCTGGATGAGCATCGTACTGGCGTGCGGTCGTGTATCACTACTGCGTGGTGCACGTTAAAGATTCCAGGCTAGCGGTCGTACTGCATTGGCTAAGTTGCTTATCTACAGCTGGGACACAAGTCGCCCGTTGAGGCAGACTGAGTTCTAGGCCTTTATAAACATACACACAACCAATTATTTTTTTTCCGAGAAGCAAATATTCTATTTTGTGCAAGGAGGAGGAGAGAGAGAGAACAAATATGGTTGGGGAGAGATTCGTAGATATCACGTTGGTTAAAATACTGGAAATTCGTACGACAATGGTTTGTTTTATTATCTGGTATTCTTTTGATAAAAATATGCTAAATCCCATTTTTTTAGACCACCTGAGACTGGGTGGAAGAAACACGACGACGTCTCAAAAGACGTCGTCTCTTGAGACGTCGTCGTGTTTCTTCCACCCAGTCTCAGGTGGTCTAAAAAAATGGTAAACTTACACCAACTCGCCTGCGCCCTAACTGTTTTTTCATGCTAAATCCAAGTGTTTTCATTACCCATAAACGGTGCCGTCAAAACAGTGTGTGTGTGGGGGGGGGGGGGGGGGGGGGGGATGCCCTTCCTCCAGATATTTCAAAATTTAAGCATTACAAAGGAGAGGTAGTAGAACCTTGCCACACATTCTCCCTCCACCACTTCCTATCTCCCGAGTAGTTCCGGCACCTCTGTCGTAACCAATCCTGAAATTGTCCGCGTACTGTTTACTTCGAAAATAGCCACAGACTCCCGAATACGATATCTTTCTCTTTTTGTCTTGGCAAATATTAATTTGGGTAAAGTTGGTATTTTTGTTTGGTCTTATTTTTCCTGCGGATGTTGTCGTTGTGACTGACGGGAGAGGAAGGTTCTCAGTAAAGAACGTTAGCATGCCGTCCACTCCTTGCAGTTCTCCAGACTACCGAGAGCGTGTGTACGCAGCCATACAAGTTCCGAGTCAAGGGAGGATCCTTCGTGTGCCTTCAGACCAAGTGGAAGACCTTCAAAAACCCCTGGACCAAGGAGTTCGAGTGCCTTGTCGCCACCAACACGCTGCTCAGGTCGGTTCCGCTCGCGATCTCCGCTCCTACCTCTGACAAGAAAACATTTCTGATGAACGAACACCGCTCTACTACTCAACCTTAGCACCCTCGGTCAACATCGCTGCACTTTGCCCTTGATCACTTCATTTATTGTAGAAAAATTCGTTTTCCGAGGTTTTCTGTACAGTTGGTCTCGCCTAGTCGGAAGTACATTTATTTGTCTATTGAATTTACTGCAGCGCGCAGAAGGCAATCTTTTGCTGGAAAGTGAGAAGTACAAATATAAAAATGGTCGCAAATACACACATAAATATACGATGGCTGGGCAGGGATACTGCAAGAAGCATTCCGGAATACAAATACAGATGCAGACATATAGACATTTTTCCCCGAAACGTGACGAGTGCTGAGGCAGCAGTTAGTGTCGAACACAACTGGTAGCGATTGTATTCTTCTTTTAGTGTCAGTTTATGCACCCTCCATTACCTCAACCTGTTCATCTATTCGCAGCGGTAATCCAGAGTTCTGCGAAAAAACAATATATTTTATCCGCAGTTGTCTAACTGTTTGACAAAAAATATCTGCCCGAAAGGAACGCTTATTGGTCGTGAGGAGCCGTCCATGACAGGGAAATTGAACAACGAAGCCAAACCTAGTTAACACGCTACATGCAGGAAGATAAAGCCTCCTAAAGCTATCGACTGTTCATGACGGCTGTTTTAGTCCTCTCCACTCGCCTTTTTTTACAAAGCATTCGCTCTGCTAAAGGTAAAAAATAAAGGCTTTCTGGGGGAGCTTGTCTGCTATTTTTACAAGCGATAGTTCTTTGAGCTACCCGTATTGTTTCTTTGTTGTTATTGTTTCTTTGTTTTTATTTTGGTTACTGCGCTATTCCAGGCAACAGGCTGGCCCATTTGGAGGGGGTTATGCGCCGGGTCCAAATTGCAAATTGCACCAAGAAGATGGCTTTCAATTTATTGTGACAAACCGACAGTTTGTTTTTTGACAACACATGTAGAGATACCTAAGCCTGGCAGAGTATCGTGATGCAAGCGGTACATTGCAAAGGTATTTCAGTGCTAATATACAAATACATTTTTAACACGTGTCTCGATACAGAGATGAATATCCTCTAAAGTACACTGCCAGCCCTGAAATATGCACACATGTACACCCGTGAGCGATATGAAGGGAAACTGCCGTCTTCTTGTTTTTGACGCTCCTGCAAGTTTTGGAACCAACTCTGTTCCAGAAGAGGGCTAGAACGCAAAGTTTAGACCCCCAGCCACGTGCCATTTGAGACGGTGAGAGTTAATATAGATTTAGGGAGCCGTAGAACAGGCAAGAAACCAGGTAAGCTGGTCACCTTCATATTGTCGGCGGGTGTACATGTACACTCGAATGAGTTTGAGACCACTGATACTTTTTTTGGAAGGTGTAACGTTGTGTAATTTTTTTCTACAGTATTAAAAAATTCAAATTCGCACTGCAGTATCTGTTTGACCTTTTAAAAAGTTTGTTATTTGCCCATCAACAGAGTGTGCAGATGTTTTTACCTTCGAATAATTGTTTGACCTGTCTTGTATACGCTTCATTTCGTATTTATTCCTGACATCATCGTTTATGTTCTCTGTTCATAGCGTGTTTTATTTCGTTACAGCGGTTATTTTGTTGGTTTGGTTGTAACTTTTGCTGATCATAGGTTCAACTATACGAAAAGGGGGGGGGGGGGGGGGGGGGAGAGGCTGTGTAAGGCATTGTGCCTTTATCTCTGCCACTTCTGCGGAAACAAATCCGCAACACGAATAAAGAAGAAAAAAACTATCAGTGGTCTGAAACTTATTCGAGTGTGGGTGCCAGACAGCCCACACCAGAAAGGCCGCGGGCCAACGTAAGATGGGAATGGGGATAGAAACAATGAAAATGAAGAGACCTCGCTTCTTACGCTTTTTGTAAAATCGCAGTTTTGCCAGGACGTATTTCGATTTCATTGGTTTTATGACTGCTTTGGATCCTGGCCTGATGTGATAACAAGAATTAGAATGACACCGCCCCGCCAACGTGCTGCTCTCAACATGTTTCTAAAGACAATCAGTTAATTTGGCAGTTCTTGTTTTTCTGACGATGTTTATTACAACACTCAGTAAATACTTGTCTTTTATTGGTTATATTTATGAAGGCGATAATCCCGAGCTAGTAGCTTATTTTTTGGCAGTAGCTGCGGCTGATCGACGTTAGTTAGCGCAGCCGAGATGCATCCTTCAAAAAATAGCTCGCGCTTGCAGTCTAGTAGCCGAAACAGTTGTACATTGCAAACAAACTGGGAAGCGAAAATGAAGCGAAACAAAGGGCAAATGCACACAGATAAGTTTAAACTATTTGAATACGTTAAACCAGCAAAGCTACCCATACAAAAATGTCCTATTACCGGCTATAGAAAATTCTTTGTATGGTCGGCTTTAACTATTTGGCCCAATTAGCTAAAGAATTTTCTATGGCTGTCTTTAGCATTTTTATGGTCGCCTTTATGGGCCTCTTTAGCGTTTTTATGGCCCTATCAATGTCCAGCCATAGCGCTCTTTAGCTTTATTGATGGTTGGCTAAAGAGTTCTATATGGCTTACCCTATGGCTCTCTTTAGCCAGCACACTCTAAAAGAAAACTTTACTTCGAATTTCCCCGACTTTTGAATGCTACATGGCAGATATACATACATCCTGAACACACAAAATACACAGAACATAGTTACGCACTGGGGTTGGCAAAGTAGAGGACAGGCGCTGAGTTTTAGACATTGTTGGGGTTCGGCTATGGTCGTCATTGCAGCTATTGGACAGGGGTCACTACCAGAGTGCTTGTGAAGCTATTATTTATAACGAGCCCAAATCGAGTGATCCCGCGTCGCACGGGTCCAATCTATGAACCGCATTCAAATACCGTCACTTGGGGTACCCCCCTCTCCCCCTCCCCAGCTACGTTATCAAGTTTTGCGCAGGAGAGATTAAAATAAAACGATCGCATTTGTCCTTGCGATTACACCACAACGAAATAGTTTCTTGGTCAGCGGCGTTGGGAGTACATAGATGGGTCCCACTAGTGCCAGTGAGCTCGGGTTAGCCGTCTGTGTCCCTTGCGTCTGATGCAATCGTCGATAAGTGTTGAGCTAGAACGATAGCCCTCCCAGCCTTCTTGCCGACGGGGTCGGCCCTTTACCACAAACTCTCCACAACCCTTCATACAAAAAAATCAAGTTTTGGGTTATCTATTTTTCTGTACCAGTTTTCTTTTACCCACTAAGCGATTTGCGATTAGTAAAATATCCTATTTAAATTAACCCTTCACCCCTGATGATTTATGGGTCGCTTTCATCCCTTCAAATTCCTTCAGCCAATCAAACCTCTGAGTCCTTCAAACACTTTTATCCCTTCAGAGCCTTCAGCTTATCAGACCTCCTCAGCCTTTCAACCCTTTAGACGCACAAACGACTGTACACCATAGACCAAAAATTTCGTTGCTTAAAACGTCATTGTAAGTTAATTTTAGACAGTCAGTTTTACATGCATGTTGAAACTCAGAAACACGATAATAACCAACGCTTACTCAAACTTGGGCGCAAGCAGCTCTTGACGTAAATGAAACGGCCAAAGGGCGGTCATGGCGGTTATGGATTTCCTTGTCGCCAAAAACATCTTTCGAAAAACCCACAATTCCGCTGGGTAAAGTCCGGAGGTTTACGGTAGTTCAACGTAAAACCGAGCGGATGCACCCCACACACACGAACACTGTAAGTAACGCTCAGCGAAAACATCCAACGCGTAACCAGTATCCGCCGCCGTTGACTAAATCCTGATCACTGTCACGTTGTCGTCTTTGGTGCCGTCAAGCACCCCAGGCGTCGTTTTCTCTCGCTGGAAGAGCTAGGGAAGCCGGATGGAGCAATAGAAGCAAGAAGCAGGGCACTAAGAGACCACTTTTATTCGCACACTGAGCTGATTTAGGATAGATCCACGCGTGGGAGGGAAAGCCGACACTAAGCGACCGTTCGTTTCTACCGCCCTATACAATATGGCCAAGAGGCTTCCCCGATGCATATATCCTGAAGTATCTCGTGATATTTCCTACAGAATCGTTAAGACTATTTTCATGGGTCACGTGCCTTTCCGGTAAACATTGTTAAAGATCCCACAGTCCTCTAAAACATTTATGACAGACCTCTCACACCACTCAGAAATTTTTAAGGGTATGTGAGGCCGCTTAGAAAACTTAGATGGACCTCTCAATCCTCTCTGAAATTTTGAGGGTTCGTCAGTACCTTTCAGAAATCCTGAGGGGGCCCCATAGACATATTCTCAATGTGCTCCTAATCTAAAATCACTTATTTCAGTCCGGAATGTATTTCAGGGTTCCTTTCATTCTCAATGTTTTAATCTACTAAACTCACTTAGGTATTTATGTGGAACACAATGCCGCGTGCACGGCCAAGTCGCCAGAGGACATGGCTCCTGCGCTGAGACACGGATGTCAATCACTACCTCCGACCTTCTTGTAATGTTTCTTTAAAAATTCTGGAAACCCCCGAAATTTTAAGAAATAACTGAACATGGGAAGCACAAAACAATGAAGAGCACAATGTTTTTTGTTTTTTTTAGTTTTTACAGTATATTGACGAGTTGAACATTCCACCAAGCAATCGTGGAATGTTCGACTGCAAGCGCGGAACTAACAACGTGTTTTAGTACCAAATGTTCGTAGAGTCTGTATATGTGTATGAACACCTTAGTTTTCTGCATCGAGCCAGTCTTAAGGCCGATTCAGACGCTTGCGTTTGAATGAGTTTGACAGCGTTGCGTCGAGAACCGAAAGCGAGTCACCGGCAAACTTGTGCTTCGTATGAAGCGTGGAATCCAATTCAAGGAATCGTCTTGGCACGCGATATAAGCAGCAGGGATGTCCAGGTTTCTCGTTGCCGCAACGCAGTCAGACGCAGTCAGACGCAACTGTCTGAACCAGGCTTTACAC